GAATTCACCAGTTGATGCTGCAGGCTGGCAGAACACAAATTACAAACTCGGTTACCAAAGGTTCACTTATAACAGCTTGACTATAACGTGTGTCCATGTGAGCACTGATGATCATGAAACTGATTGTGTTCCTTCACAGTCTGATGTTTAAGCCTCGGATTTCAAAATGCACTTTTCGGACGTTAAGAATGTGTGAATTTATATATATTGAACGTACTCGACACAGTAATACTTCCATTGGTACAAAAAAAAATCACTTTCCTTCTCAGACAGGTTACAGTTACTGTAGCAAAACATGGTCCACATTCGGCCATCGTGTCTAGGTCTAAACTTCCAAGTAAAGTAAACGGAGTTCACGTACTGTCTACTGAACAGGCGGTCCCATTAATTGACATCATTAACAATACCGTGACAAAATGCAGACACTTCAGTGTAATCTAATAACGCATAAAGAAGTACACGGCATGCTCATACAGCATAGCCACCAGAGCAGTTTGTCTGGTGCCCATCTTAAACCAACAATTGTCTAGTCCTCAAAGTTTGTACACAACATGAATATTTTCTTCAATGCCCATGTGGTATGGGCTAACTTTCGCGGGCCACAATTGTCCTAAAATTGAACAGTGGGGCTAGGTCGGGAGCAGATAGATGGAGCGTTTGTGTGAACTAATAAAAAATAAACGACATGCATAAAGGCTAAAATGCTTTTAGACTTTTTGACGCCATCTATTGGGAAAATAAAGGAATTACAGGAAAAAGTCGGAAGTATAATGATGATATGAATTAATAACATAATTTGGACATGTTTGGTGGGCCGGATTCAAAAGACAAACGTCTGGACCCCGGGCCGTAGTTTGCGCATGTCTGGGCTGCATTCTTCTGGTCTCGTCTAGTACACATCTGTCTAGTCCATTAAGGTCAAACACAGGGCCATAAGACGACCACTTTTATTTGTTTGCCTACGTTGAAGCCCACATTCTGGACACTTGGTGTAGACCACCTAATGCCTTCGTTGTCTCCGATGAATATTAATGTCAAACTAAAATGTCGCATTTTTAACCAAGCTTGAATGGAAACAGGTTAAAATGTTCTAAACTTCACGTAAGGTTTTGATCTAGCCTGGTCGTCTCAAGAGTGGCCCCTAGCTCAACTGAGTTTGAAACCTCTGGTCTACGCCATCTATTTTTTTTGTTTCTTTTTCAAAAAGAACAATTGAAACTAACTTAATTTCGGCCTTGGAATGAGGGGAAAAAGCAGGTAGGTCGGGAGCAGATAGATGGAGCGTTTGTGTGAACTAATAAAAAATAAACGACATGCATAAAGGCTAAAATGCTTTTAGACTTTTTGACGCCATCTATTGGGAAAATAAAGGAATTACAGGAAAAAGTCGGAAGTATAATGATGATATGAATTAATAACATAATTTGGACATGTTTGGTGGGCCGGATTCAAAAGACAAACGTCTGGACCCCGGGCCGTAGTTTGCGCATGTCTGGGCTGCATTCTTCTGGTCTCGTCTAGTACACATCTGTCTAGTCCATTAAGGTCAAACACAGGGCCATAAGACGACCACTTTTATTTGTTTGCCTACGTTGAAGCCCACATTCTGGACACTTGGTGTAGACCACCTAATGCCTTCGTTGTCTCCGATGAATATTAATGTCAAACTAAAATGTCGCATTTTTAACCAAGCTTGAATGGAAACAGGTTAAAATGTTCTAAACTTCACGTAAGGTTTTGATCTAGCCTGGTCGTCTCAAGAGTGGCCCCTAGCTCAACTGAGTTTGAAACCTCTGGTCTAGCGCCATCTATTTTTTTGTTTCTTTTTCAAAAAGAACAATTGAAACTAACTTAATTTCGGCGTTGGGATGAGGGAAAAAGCAGGTTGAGACCTGATTTTTAGTGATGGAAGGATGATAAACAATGTAATAAATATGGTAAAAAAAATATCGACGAATATCGAGAAGTTAGTCGGTTATCTTGACAAAAATAGGCAAAATTATTGTGACTTCTTCTTATAGACAATACCAGCAATATATCCAACCACTGCTTTTATCACTTTTGTAATTTTCAAGTTTGTACTTTGCATATCAACTTAATTCTTAATGCAAAAAAAAAAAAAAAAATTGAAAAAACATCTTTAAATATTCAACATTCCGCACATAGGACAGGTCTGCAATAGTTTCTTCTCAATCACTTAATAGAGATGTACCACACTAAACAAAGCTGAAGAACGTGTCGGTCAATAGATGAATAAAGCACTTTTACAAGCTCACATTTCAACACCGTGACACATGACACGTAGTAAATATAAAGGCAAGTGGTTTTCTCCACGGACTTCTCCGACATCTGAACAATCACTGTAATGCAGCACACTCCTCAGGCATAGGTATATATTTTTTTTTATATGTATATATACATCATAATTTTTTGGAATATATATATATATATATATATATATATATTTCCGCGCTTTATCCTGTGGACTCTACAAGGTAATGACGAAGCACGTCACAAGCAGCTACTATAAAGAAGTACGACTATCAAAACGCTGTCGGCGTGAAGGTTTTGGTTGTTGCTACAGTGTTTGTTTTTCCTACACAGCTGTTGACTGTTCTACAGTGTGACCCTGCTGTTTGGTGCATCTTCCGGATGAATAATAGATTCCCGAACTCCCTGATCTGTTTTTATAAGGTTTGGAACTGGCGGCATTTTACAAGCAAAGGTTCGCAGGTCCTTTGCTTAGATTTATTAGATCAAATCAAAAACACAGTGTAACACTGTGTAATAAATGCTAATTTATAGACTACACTGCCGATTGACATCAATCGCTAGTCATTCGAGTCAAAGCCAGAAAGTTAATGTTGTAGCTTAGAATATATAGCAGCAAAAGTAGGCTAACTATGAACTATTTTTGGTACACAATCAACCTCTCTTGGTTACCTCAATGTTAATTATGCAAAATCGCAACCAAGTCCTTAACCTACTGCAGTATTTCTCAAATAGTGGATAACAAGCCTCCAGTCACTAGGTGGCAGCATCTCGTACAGTGTCTTGTACAGATAAGAAAATATACATCAGGTTCTCAATAGTATTTCAATTTGTGGATCGAATCGTGTGGATCGAGGGGGGGGGATGGGGTAGAAGGAGGGGAATTGGGGTGTGAAAACATTTCTGTCCCCAAGGGGGAGCATGACAGAAAACAATTGAGAACCACTGACCTACTATATGGCGTGTAGTGGTAACATCACCATCTCTCGTAAATGTATTTAAAAAAGTCTTGTTTCATCATTCCGACATATGGCGTTTAAATGCTAACTAGTTCCCGCGTGAACTAAACGGCAAGCGGATCGGACCAATACGATGTCACGCAGCGCTGTACACATACGACGGTTTTGTTTAGGTTCGTTGATTGCATGCCATACATTGAACTGTGGTGAACTCAGACTCTCTTGATGTTTTTATGTCCTAGATTATAATGGTAAGACTGCGTTAGCGTAGCTGAGTGACTCAGGTATGCAAGTTACGTGGCGCCATGGGAACAGAACTCTGACAAAGTCGAGGACCCCGTGTACTTAAAATTCAAGAGGTGAACTGCAGCACTCTCTACCCATTCAGTTTGATTGAGGAAACGTTAATCGTTTAACAATAAAATGAAATCATTTACTGCCTTTTTTCCTGGCTGTAACACTTAATGAAAACCAGCACTTAAGAGTTGCTACGATCATATCAGCTTCACAGGTCACAGCTACAAGAGTCATTTTTTAAATTTTTTTTTTTAAATATACTGGTTGCATAACAGTATGACGGGCTGTCTTTCCCTGCAGTTATTCATTTGATTTTTTTAACATTTAATTAAGAGGCACACTGCTGTAGAGGAGCGGCGAGAGAGCCCGCTGCCTCATCATGATTCTACCACAGCACAGGTTCATTAAGCTTCTCTTTCTCTTTACCTCCAGAGATTTGAAGAGATTTTAAAGTTGCATTAGCAAAGACTTGGTCACTTCTCATGGACGTTTCAGGACCATAAAATATAAATGAGCTCATTTTGGGGAATAGGGTGAGAATATGATCTACATTATGCACATGAATCCACAGTCAAATGCGCTTTAATGTTATTATACAAGGCAGGGTAGAAGTATGATATTATACTATAGTACTTTAGTGTAGTATTTACTTTTTACTGCCTGTGGTTCAATTCTGGTATTTCAACAACATAAAGATGCAGCTTGAATTTAAATAATAGTAAATATTTAGCACTGAACTACATAAGTTGCCAAAAAATAAAATGTGACTTTGTTTGTAAGAATGTGCAGTCAGGCCAACACTTCTAAGAAATTACTAATATTGTCATAACCTTCATAATTATATAGCTTTATATAAGTTATTATAATATTATTAAATTTTTGTGCTGACCTCTGATGTCTGCCTCGTGTTAGCCTCAGTGGCACCTGTTGCTAAGGCTACAGTAACTTCGGCTGCTTTAAGCTCAGTAAGTAAAACATTTTTTTTACCATTAATATTTTTTTTTGTTTAAACCAGACAATGTTCCAAAAATCCTCCACTTACATTTTTGACATAAAAACATATTCCACATGCAGGCTTTTTTTTTTATTTCCATCTTTCGACACGGTAAAACATGTTTTTGACACGCTAACCGTGTTAGCTTCGGTTGGCTATTTTTAGCTCTTATGCTAATGGGTCTGCTATGACACAGAAGCCAAGAAACTGGGGGCTGCTTTCTCAGTGCATGGACGACTCAGTGTGGAACCTTTGCTGCATTTATGTGAAATAATTATATTATTGGACCAATGATAAAAAAGACTTTAGTAGTTGGAAAATAAAAAATGCTATGAACCTGTGCTGTGGCTTTACAGCATTAGATGTCACTGCCGCTGATCAGACTAAAGGTCCTAATAAATATATTTTCAGTGTTTCTTCACAGCAGAACGTAGTGTGATATCAACATTATATTTTGGAAAATCCCTGTGCACATCGTAGTGTGATATCAGCATTATATTTTGGAAAATCCCTGTGCACTTTTTCTTTAACTTTCTCTCTAGGCATTTTTGCACGCCATCTTGATTCGGATTGTTGAGAACAAGAAATGTCTCTCCTGTGACTAATGAGCACAACTGAGGTATAGATTTTATATTTTGAGTTTGGATATGTAAGCTACTTCCACAAAATAGATCTAAAGTGTTAAATATATCATATCAAAGATCATACAACAAAGATTATTTACTTGCAGAAAAAATATAGACTAAAACATCTACGATCATCTAAAGTCTAAAAAAAGACATAGGCATAGGTTTGCACAGTGACAGAATGTTCATTTTTCAAGTCCAAAACCTCCACTGTTCTCCTTTTTCTCTTTTTTTTTTTTTTTGTTTTTTTTTTGTTTTGGTGTAATTACCAAGCGAATAACAATAGTGGGAGAGGGAAAAAAAAAAATATTGTAAACATCGTACCAGTACAAAAGCACAGATTGCCATACGAGCTCAGAAAACACGGACACGGGCAGCACTGATGGATTTCACTCCTCCTCCATAGACTTCTCAATCTCCTTCAGCCTGCGGACAAACTCCTGAGCCTCCCTGTCCCCGATGCGAGCTTCCAGCATCCTCATGATTGGCTTCTCTGGAAGAGAGAGCAAACAGATGAAAGCAGTCCCTTCACATGGCACAAATATGACTTGATTGAATGGCTTTTCATGGCGTATTGGAGAAGTAATTGGATAACCCAAACCTATCCCCTCCGGTAGCTGAAGAAGCCAATATTAGGCCTGTGTAAAAGATACAGCCCGGAGCTACGACATACCGCTGGGTTTACTGCGAGACAGGTGCAAAATGACCGGCTGCACACTCTTGCCAGCTGCTGATGAGTTCGGTCTCCCCGGCCAGCAGAAGTCACTGAGAGGAGCCAAGGCCTCACCGGCAAAGTCGTTGGTGGAGAGCCAGTCATAGTCCATCACCGTGAAGGCTAAACAGGCGAACCTGTGTCTGTACTGTTCAGGACTGACATGACTGGGAGACAAAATCAGCACACAAATATGAATTTGAACCTTTTCATGGTTCAAAGCTGTATGAGTGCAAATAAATATTTATTTTTAATTAATATATTAATGTATCACCTACCACTGCTAACTGCAGACCAGTTCATTAACCGTATTTTCCGGAATTAAAGTCACACTTTTTTCCATCCTTTGGCATGGTTTACTCAGGTGCGACTTAAAAATATATAATTTCACGTTTGTTATTTTCACACTGACAGCCGCTAGGGGGCCCTCTAGGCTTGTGTACCAGTATCTGCTACTCCTGTACCACTGAAAAAGTATTTGTTCGTTATTGCTAGAGGGCACTGGTGTGACTTATAAATGTTTTGTTCTTCTTTATTGCACAGTTTTTGTCTGGTGCGACTTGACGGTAGCAGATACTGGTACACAAGCTTAGAGCGCCCTCTAGCGGCTGTCAGTGTAAAAACAACTAACATATGAAATTATATATTGTAATAAATGTGGCGAACCCAGCCAAAGGATGAAGAGAAGTGTGACAATACAGCACTCAGGGATTTATCCCACATCGTTGCCTTGAGTTTCTGAATCCAAATTTAGCGTCGACGTCTTTCTCTTCTAACTTTAGATTTGTCAGAATCGTGTTCTGCTGAAGACTGCGGCGTACAACAATACATTCCTACAGTGACTTTCTTTTTTTTTCGTACCAGTACAAAAGCACAGATTGCCATACGAGCTCAGAAAACACGGACACGGGCAGCACTGATGGATTTCACTCCTCCTCCATAGACTTCTCAATCTCCTTCAGCCTGCGGACAAACTCCTGAGCCTCCCTGTCCCCGATGCGAGCTTCCAGCATCCTCATGATTGGCTTCTCTGGAAGAGAGAGCAAACAGATGAAAGCAGTCCCTTCACATGGCACAAATATGACTTGATTGAATGGCTTTTCATGGCGTATTGGAGAAGTAATTGGATAACCCAAACCTATCCCCTCCGGTAGCTGAAGAAGCCAATATTAGGCCTGTGTAAAAGATACAGCCCGGAGCTACGACATACCGCTGGGTTTACTGCGAGACAGGTGCAAAATGACCGGCTGCACACTCTTGCCAGCTGCTGATGAGTTCGGTCTCCCCGGCCAGCAGAAGTCACTGAGAGGAGCCAAGGCCTCACCGGCAAAGTCGTTGGTGGAGAGCCAGTCATAGTCCATCACCGTGAAGGCTAAACAGGCGAACCTGTGTCTGTACTGTTCAGGACTGACATGACTGGGAGACAGAATCAGCACACAAATATGAATTTGAACTTATTCATGGTTCAAAGCTGTATGAGTGCAAATAAATATTTATTTTTAATTAATAAAATAATGTATCACCTACCACTGCTAACTGCAGACCAGTTCATTAACCGTATTTTCCGGAATTAAAGTCACACTTTTTTCCATCCTTTGGCATGGTTTACTCAGGTGCGACTTAAAAATATATAATTTCACGTATGGTTTGCGAGTTATACTCAGGTGCGAAAAATATATAATTTCACGTTTGTTATTTTCACACTGACAGCCGCTAGGGGGCCCTCTAGGCTTGTGTACCAGTATCTGCTACCCCTGTACCACTGAAAACGTACGTTTGTTATCTTCACACTGACAGCCGCTAGGGGGCACTCTAGTTGGCTGGTGCAACTTATACTATCCGGAGTGACTTATAGTCAGGTAAATATGGGTCTTCTACTTCATCTGTGTTTTTAAAAGTTACTAAAATATTGTAAATTGTCAACAGAATCGCTAACTAGTCGAAAACCTAAACGTCTCAGAGCCAACAAATGTTTTAGTTTCGCTCTATGTATAAAGATATTACGTTCAAAGCCGTAGCAGACCAGATACAAACTGAATATATTCCCAATGAAACTGCCAAAAAAACAGAGCTATTGATAGAAAAACTGAATCAGACTCACAAATAAAAAAGTTCATCAAACACTGGGTGCAGTGTTTTCAGTTTCACTTGCGTGCGTTGACTCTTGGCCATGGGGAAAAGATGGTGAGGACAGAGCTCCACTATGACGAAGGGGTCACTCAGACCTGAGCAGCACAGGAACACATGGAGAGGAATAACCAACAACAACACTTACCGGAGCACACGACTGCATCTGATCAGTGACTTTTACCGTTGGCGTCCAGTGCGATGATGTCTGCCGCGTGAAGGATCTCCACAGTCAGTCTCTGCTCTGGAGCGTCGTAGTAGCACTTGACACTGATTCGACCAAAGCGGGTGTGTTTAAGTGTTTTCTGCAACAGTAAGCGCACGTTACAGTTCATCGGCTCTGTTTACTTAGAAACGTCCAGTTATTCAATATAACTATGTCTAGTTTCTCAACAGTGTTGGTACAGAGCTGACGATTATCGGCCATCTAATGTAAAACCACAGCAGACAGAGTGTTGCACTGTCCAATCAATACTCCTCTGAGCACTCGGGAAGGGGGGCCGGGGGGGGGTGTTAAAGTGATTGCCAGCAGAGTGAATAGAGACGCACTTGGTAGGAAATCTTCTCCAGGTAGTACTGTTCGATCAGCTCGAAAGAGGAACACTTGTTCAGCCTGAGTTCTTGGTCCAGGACCTAAAGAAGCATGGGGACGATCAGAAGGGGGACGATGTTGAGTGGCACAAAAGGTTGGCACGGGAGTCTGAGTTGACTTCAATTCCAGTCTCACCTTGTAGTCACCACCCTTCATGTCTTCCAGGGAAATACCCTCGCCCTTAGTGTGGAAGAACTGCAACACTGTCTAAACAGTTGAAGGGGAAAAAAACATTTAGGTTTAGGCTTTTTAACACTGTTGTTTTGAACACCCAGTGGCCACATATAACATTTGGACATTTAAATACTAGTGCAAATAATCATGATCAGTCATGAGTAATCATGACTGATCCACAGAAATTAATATTCCTAAATATAGAAAAAAAGTAATATTTAGGTATTGTGTATTGTATATTGCTGAAACAAAAAGACAAACAACAAAAGGTAGACGTCCGCGTATGTGTTTGCCAACTGTTCTTATTTTTTCTAATCCAAATGATGGAATACTTAATATAGAAAATGTCAATTATTAAACATTTTAAAAATAAGTAGAATATTTTCATGGTTGAATGAGTTAAATTCCAGTCATTACCATTTATCCTAAAACAGGATACAGTTCAATGCTGGACAAGGACGTAATGATAAGACTGTGTGGGATAAGGCCCGAGGATCTTTCTTCTGATATTACATCTGTCAAGTTATTGACAAACCCTACCTTCACCTTGTTTGCGTCTCAGGTGTTAAGAGAATCCGCCCGAATCATTCATAAAATTGTAGCAGAATGACAGCGAAAACCCCTTTCGAAGGACTGCGTGTGAGCGTGCGTGTTAAAATCGACACCCAGCCCACACGCCTGGCTCACAAACAAACAGCGCCCACACTGTCATTCACGAGATGAATTACTGAAGACACTAAACTAACGTCTACCGAATCTCCTGAAAATCAACATATGCTAATGATTGCACGGCAGTGAGCACGCGGGGCTAATTGATGGATGATGACAATAACGGTAGTGATTATAATCTTTACACATGTCGTCTTCAGCTGTGGGCCCACAGTCGAAGCTAGGAAACTGTCAGGGTGTACTTTACGGATTTGAACTCTGGGCACAGCTGCACTCACCTCCACCGTGTACTGGAAACGGTTATAGAATTCCACCTGAACGCCCCTGTTTTCTGTCACGGCGTCCGTGATCATTCGGAGGAGCAGCTCCCACATGCTCTGGACAACCCTGGACGAAAAAGCAGCGGACACAAAGACAGACAACAGCAAGTTTGTGTTTATACTAACGTGTCCAATTACAGCCCTGTACCCCCGCTCAGCCCTGATAACAGCCTCATAATAATAACTTGCCAAGACAAAACAAGTCCAGGGGACGTAATCAGTGTCGCAGCGCTTACATTTTACAGAGAGTTTCAGAATGTGCTTGGAAAGCACACATTTTATCTGATGCTTTGACGATTTTGTACTTTATAAAGAACATTGATCTCACAAAACCGGGATGTGAGATGTTCACAAAAATATTAAGGTTTTCTGTCTGACAATGTTCCAAACAGAACTAGAAACTGTGAAAAAATATACGTAATCACTTGCTTTTCTACTCAAATTATGGTACCACTGGTGGTACAAGGGGTTCCCTCCAACAATAGGTGTGAAAGTCATATTTTTTTAGACTGTGTCGACTAATGAAGTGAAGGTACCTAAAATGAAAAGCCTTCAAAACACTGCTGTCACACTGGAGCACACAAAATGAAGTGGGTATTATTACACTACCAAACCTGCAAATTCTTTTATTTAAATACTGTACTTAGCTGAACAGTGTACTGCTGTGTAAATAAATTCGAGAACCACCAAAAAAAAAAAGATGTTTGGACTAAAATGAACTAGTTTAAAACTAGTTTAGTTTAAATAACATACATATTTTGCTAGCTTATTAGCAACTGCTAGTTTTTTTTCAGACATTTGGCTACTTGTTATTTATTTGGATAACAAATAGTTTTTTAGATAATTAGTTGGTATCTCTAGTCATGTTGTTTTTGGTGAATTATATCATTTGGCTAACTACTGTTGATGTTTTTTTTTTAAATAAAATGTACTATTTTCTTGCTAACATTAGATAAAAATCTTAAAAAAGAAAATATGCAAATAATCCTAAACCTTTGTAGTTTCCCCAACGGGCAAAATTGTCTGCCTCCTACGACGCTGATGCTAATTACTGTATCTTGCAGCGCCCCTCAAACAGATGAGGACATACTTTATACTCGCACAGAGGAAATTAATTACCTTGTCATGTTCTCTTTCACAAGGTTTTCAGTGAGGATGAGCATTGTGTCCTGGAGGTACTTCATGAGAGGTGACACGGCCTGGGAAGATGTTTCATTAAAGATAAGGTGAGGTACAGTGGAGGTGTCTCCCTGCCAGCAGCTAATGCCGCTACGAACGAAAACAAAGGAAGAGTGCTTACGTCGTCGTTGTTAATGGAGTCGGGGGAGAGACTAATATGCTGGATGTACCTGCGCAGCTCTGGCATCATCTGAACACAAATGATCATTAGTATCACACAGGACTAAGGTAAAAAAAAAAATTAAAATAATTAAATTGAATTAAAACAACAATTAAAATTAAAATAAAAAATAGAGAAAAAGAACAAACTTATTTTAAATTGTTGTTGCTAGGTTATTGTTCTCTCTATTGTCAGGTTTTCAAACTGAATATTCTGCATTCGATTTAATCAGTGAACTTCCAGTGTTCAGAAATTCATTAAAAAAAAACAATCAATTTTTCAATCCATATAAAATTTAAAATAATTAGCAACAGCTATACAGTAACAGTTTGAATCGATGGTTTCAGTCTTCACCAGACGGTGATTCCTATCTTCCTGAAGGTGCTAGAAATAAATTGCAGTTCAGTTTTCTCGCTAACTATCTTGGAAAGGTCTCCGACGCTCAGGTGTGCTCACACAGTAAGGTGTTCACCTTGTCAGTGAGGAGCGTGATTAGTCGTTTGGCTTCTCGCTGCAGGTCCAGGTCCATGTTGAACAGTTGCCCGTTGAGAGCTTTGTAAACCTGCTCTTTCCCCTCGCTCCCGCAGGATTCCTCCATCGCCTGCTCCACACCGTGCCAGGCCAGATCTTGGGGCAGGTGACTCAGGAACACGCGCACGTATTCTATGTTGTTTAAGGCGATGCAGAGCTAGCAGCAGACAAAGAGGGGCGAAAAAAGTAGAAAAAGAAGGGCAGAAAACAAGGTGGAAACACAGAGAAGAAACAGAAGCAGGGCTACAGAAGAAGCAGAGGGAAAATCATAGAGGTGTAAACATGTGTTTGCCGCACTGGAGGTGACCAGCTGACATTTACCTCCCCCTTTTATGCCTTGCTACGGGCCTTACCTGCACTGTGAAGCTCTTGTGGTCTCGGCCCAGCTGGTTCCTCTCAATCCTGCGTGTTATCATCTCGGAGTAGCACACAGCCTCGCTGCAGAAATTCTAGGTAACAAACAACCATCGTGTTACCACATGGTGGTTTAGTAGAGAGAAAAATAAACAGAGATATTTCCATACTCTTCCAGTTCCAACACTTTCACAAGACGTTTTTCTTTTTTTTCTTTTTTTTTTGTGCCAGACATTTCTTGTGTTGGTACGCAACAGTGGCATGATTGTGCTAGACGACACCATGTTGCTTTGTTTTTGTTTAAAAAAAAAAGTACACAAGCTGCTGAGACCCATTTTTATCTGGTTGTTTTGTAGCCTTTCAATTAAAAATAATTTGAGAAAACACCGTGTTTTTAAACTTTGCTTATTATCTGCTTTCATTTTGAATTAATTCACAGGAGCTTGAGTTATTTTAGTATTAGTATCATATAAACTGGGCTAGATATGAGTCCAGATGGATGGATAGATAGACAGACAGATAGATAGATCTTGAATGACCCAGGTTGGTTTGTGATTAAAAACTGGTCAGTCACAAAAAAACTGGAAAG